GAGAGAGAGAGAGAGAGAGAGAGAGAGAGAGAGAGAGAGAAAGAAAGAAAAAGTGAAAATGGCGAAGGATTATTGGCAAGGAAAGAAAGAAAAAGTTGAAGAAAATGTGTCGAACTACGATGACAACAGTGACAACGGTTAAACTCATTACCATTTTTATGGTTGTTCTGCGTCAATGCTAACATCGAGATGTTTCTTCTTCTTCTTCTTATTTTTTTTCTTCTTCTACTTCATGGTATGAACAAAGAAAGGAGTTCTCTAGCCATGGAAGCGGACCTTAAGGTCAAGTACCCTAGACTTCCGGCGTGACTTGAGCACCACTCAAGTCTCACTGTCGCCGCTAAAACGTAGACTTGTATCTTTCTGATTCACCTCTCGTGATAACAATCTCTCTCTCTCTCTTTCTCTCTCTCTCTCTCTCTCTTTCTTTCCTCATCCTCCTCTCGATTACCTTCTCTTTCCTTCTCTCCTTCTTCCTTACCTCCCTTTTCTTACCTCTACGGTAAGATCCTACTCCTTCCTATTTCACGCCTTTTTACACGCGAATTTAACCTCTTTGTTCTCCTTTTTTCCTCTTTCTTTCTTTTTTTCTTTTTTTTTCTTTTTTTCTTTTTTTTTTTTACTCGACCACCAAGACGGATTAATATTACCGTCGAAGTAATTTACTTCAAGGTTATTTATATTTAGAGAGAAAGAGAGAGAGGCAGAGAGAGAGAGAGAGAGAGGAAAGGGGGAAGAGAGAGATAAAAATGATTTCAGTCGTAGAAAATGAAGAAAGAAATGAAAAGGATAAAAATAAATCTATAAATCATTTTTATTTCTTTAATTTTGAATTTAAAGTGATTTAAGATGATTTTAACATTTTAAGACAATGATTTATATGCGGAATAAAACGTAATTTCAGTCGAATAAAAAAAAGAAAAAAAGAAAAAAAAAAAATAAGGAATGTATAAATTATTCAGTTTTAATTTATCTAATTCTCGATTAATGTTATTTATTTCGACGTAATTTATTTTAAGGAATAAAAAATAACGCGTCAATCGAAGAAAAAAGAAAAAAAAAGAGAAGAAAGAAATGAAGAGAGAGAAAGAGAGAGAGAGAGAGAGAGAGAGAGAGAAATTAAAAATTATATAAATTATTAATTTCAATAATTACAATTTTGAAATTGTACATAAAAATATCGTACGATTACATTAATCAATCTTAATGAGTCCAGTAATTAAAGTAATCGATGAAATAAATTTAAAAGTAAATGAATGAATGATAATGAGTAAAGTATCTGATCAAAAGTATATTCGAAAATGAAGAAATATTATTGAAGAAAAAAAAATTTACACCTTACACAGACGAATGAAGATTTCTACCTTTGATCGCAAAAGAAGGTGAAGGTCTGTAAAAATCTTACGGATTTTTATCTCTCTCTCTCTCTCTCTCTCTCTCTCTTTCTCTCTTTCTTTCTCTTTCTCTTTTTCTCTCTTTTCTTTTATTTGGTTTCTTCTTTTATTCGATGGACCGCTATATTGGTGGCGTTGAAAAACCAAAATAAATCGTATGAAAGCATGAAAGAGATGAGGAAGAAGAAGAAAGAAGAAGAAGAAGAAGAAGAAATAGAAGAAGATGAGGAAGAGGAAGAGGTGAAAGAGGAGGGAAATGGCCGGTCGACGAACCCGTGGATTCTCGTGGCACGAAGAAGTCCTTTTCGGTCCCACTTCGATATTTCCGACGACGGCGCCTGGCCCAACGTGACTCGATTGTCTCGCTTCTTTCTTTCTTTCTTTCGTTCTTTCTTTCCTATTTTTTTTCTTTCTTTCCTTTTCTTCCCTTTTCTTTTCTTTTCTTCTCTTCTCTCTCTTTTTTTTCTTTTTTTCTTTTTTTCATCTTATTATACTTTACCGCGAGATCGCGTTTAATCTTTTCAGCGTGCGGATAATTACTACCTCCTACCATTTTACCAACTTCTTCTTGAGAATTATTTAATAACCTAGATGACATCTCGATGATCATCCTACGAAAATCTTCATTTAATTTTATTTCCTCGATCGAACCTTTTACTTCTTACGATATTCTTTATTTTTTCAATTTTATAATTATTATATAATAATAGTAATAATAATAATAATAATAATAATAATAATAATAATAATAATAATAATAATAATAATAATAATAATAATAATAATAATAATTTGTCGTTCTTTTTTTCTTTTTTTTTTTTAGCGATGTTTTTTTAAATGAAAAATAAAATTTCATTTTTTCCTTTTTGTTTTTTTTTTTTCTTTTCTTTTCTTTTCTTTTCTTTTTCATAAAAATTATCTATCAAGTCAACATTGAAATATTACAAAATAATATTCGACATTTATTATCTCTTTATAATCAAATTTTTGCTCGTATCTTTTGTAAACGCAAAGTAAAATGAAATTTTAGAAATATATATAAAACGTATCCAAATACGTTGGTATTGTGGAATTAAATTTTATAAAAAAAAAAATTTGAATAATTCACGTAAATTGTTTTTTTTTTTTTTTCTTTCTTTCTTTCTTCTATCAAAAGTCATATAAAAATAAGAATTGTTCAAGAATATCCTTCAAATTTTAATTTCATTAGATCAATCGATTTTAAAAAGAAAAATTTCAAAAAATCGAATTAATTTAGAGAAGAGAGAGAGAGAGATAGAGAAAGAGTGAGGGGGAAGAGGGTGCGGGAAAAAGAGAGAGAAAAAGAAAGAGAGAGAGAGAGAGAGAGAGAGAGAAGGGAATGAGTATCTCGACGTGACTGACTCGAACGACAGCGAAGTCAAGTTCATGACTCTCTCATCATTGTCTCCGTGGTTGAATGATAATGATAATACAACCGATGATTCTTATTATTAGAGAAGAATTCTAGCGAACGATTCCGGTAGTAATAAGTCTGACGTTTCAACGTCACGACTACTTTGCGTTCGAACGATTGCTTTTCTATTCAATCCATTTCCATTGCTCGAATTTCATTGCACGTTTAGAATCCTGCTTACGTGACTGCTAACTCGACGACAAACTGCTCGCGTTCCGTAAATTCCGTTTGAACTTATCCACCGTTAGATTTCATGCCTGACAAGTAGGAAAGATAACTTTTATATAAACTTACATATATATATATATATATATATATATATATATATATATATATATATATATTTTTATACTCTTTCACCATTCTTTTATTTTTACGAGTTTACAGATAACTGATTATGGATCAACGAGTAAAATTTTTTTGAATTTACATCAAAATTTTATAATCAAAATTTAAGATAGATCTTAGAGATTCTTTTTTTTTTTCATGGTTAAAAATAAAAATTATAATTGGTCTAAATCGATTAAGAATAAGATTGTAAATATAATAATTTAATAAATTTACTATATTTAAATATATAATTTATACACGTATATATATATATATATATATATATATATATATATATATATATATATATCGTATATATTTTTCATATAAATTAATATAACATATTTGATATAAAATATTTAATGTAAATATATGAGAAATTATAATTTTTCAATGGTTTATTATTTTACGATAAAAAATGAATAAATATTACTTGAAAGATATTTTTAATATTATCTTTATGATATTTAATATCGTTTAGATGAAATAGGACAGTATAGGAATAGGATGGAACAGGATATATCGAGAAAGGGTAATATGGAAAAATAATAAAAAAGAACCGAATAAGATCGAACAAAATCGAAAAGAAATTCAACAGCTTTAAATATAATAGAATAGGATCGGATAGGATCAAATAAAATTGGAAAAGATAGAATAGGATTGAATAAGACTAAAAAGGATAGAACAACAATTGAATAGTATCGATATACTATAATAAAATCAAATAAGATTTTGTTTGATTCTTTTCGAATTTATTTAATTCTATTCTATATTTTTTTTCGATTCTATTTGAATCTATTTGAGCCTTATTCTATCCTTTTTAATCTTATCAATTTTTTACTATCCTATTCGATCTTATTCGCTTCTGTCTAATTCTATCCTGTCGTGTCCTATCACGTCTTATATCTCTATCTATTAAAAATTTTTTTTTTTTTTTTTTCTAATCAATATTAAACATTCTGAATTTTTAAGATAAAAACAATTTTAGGGTAAAACAATTTTTCAAACAAAAAACATTTATTTATTTATTTATTTATTTATTTATCTTTGTTTTTGTTTTTCGTAAAATAAGATGTTACAAAATTTATAGATTTTTCTTTAAATAACTTAAGCTAATCTTGAGATAATGTTTAAATTGACATTAGAAATAAATAATGCACTTTTTAAACAATTTTTACTTTTTAATAATGTAGACAAATATCTCCGTTGTATTTACCATCCATAGATCGTGCGAAAATGGCGAATAATGGATCGCAAGCTACGACGATTTAATTGATCCTTCGATCCAGGCCTATACCGTTATATTAATTTTATAGAGAACGCTCGGTGTTCGCGACTAAGCGAATTAGCTTCGCATTAGCGCGTTCTGACCAACGTGAGATTAATGCTCGTCCTTCTAATTAATATCGAAGTAGAAATTACGCGTCTGCGCTTATCGTAAACCCTATAATTCATGATTTGTTTATGTGGATATTTTTAAGAAAAAAAAAAAAAAAAAAAGAAAAAAAAAAATGAATAAAAAGAAAAACATACTACTTATTAAGTAAATAATATAGGGGGAATATAATTGCAAACATTTTTGCAAAATTTAAAAAAAAAAAAAAAAAAAAGAAAAAAAAATTTTAATTGCTCTATTCAACTACAAATTACATTTATTAATGTCTTGTAATTATGTAATTACACACACACACACGCGCGCGCGCGCTCGTGCGCGCGCACATGTATATATATATATATATATATACACTTATTAAAAAGTAATGAATGTTAATGATTTTGATTGAATAAGATTATTTATAAAATTATTATTATTATTATTATTTTCTTTTTGTCGTTTACAGCAACTGCAACGATAGCGAGCACGGTGCAAATCGAGTGTGCGAGCGAATCGATAATCGTACATATTTCGACCGAGGGTAAAACCGATTTCCACGGTTTGGTTTATCCAAGGGGTTTGTCGAAAAATAGTTCCTGCCTGCAGGAATACAGAAGTCAACCCTCACCGATAACATACAATCTGCCTTTGAGATCCTGCAACACGATGCCTACCGAATTG